TCTCTCTCTCTCTCTCTCTCTCTCTCTCTCTCTCTCTCTCTCTCTCTCTCTCTCTCTCTCTCTCCCCGTCTCTTTCTGTCCCAGTCGTCATTGTTGTCCGTCATTCATCCTTAAAAGGCATCAGAGGCTTGAGAAATCGCTCTCCTTTTTTGGTCTAAATGGCCGCCTCCTTTCTCCTCCAGCTGGGTTTGTTGACACACAGTCAATCCTGGACACTTTCACCCCCCTCCCCATCTCTTGTACCCGTTCCCCTTCCCCGAGCCGTAAAGCTGCCACAGCTGTGGGCTGTTGAACCAAAGTGGAGGGACACATTAAATATATTACAACCATTAGCTTTGTTGGGGCTTGACAGGTTTAATACATTGTAGCTTTACGCCAGCCAAAGGCAGGACGGTTTTAATTACTCTTAAATATTGCAATGGACCTAAGGAAAGATATGAAAAATAGCAACAAGCCCGTATCGTCTTCGTTTACAAAAAAAGGCATGTGTAGCAGTTTGTTTTAATTAGAACTGATTTTAACCCCTTAACTGTAACTCACATTTTTGAACATAGACGTGAAAGTGCACGATCCAAACTTAAATTTTTAGAATTCATGAACGAAAACATTTTGTAACATGATATTAATGTACCATTTTCATGGTAATGCAATGTTTGATTTTAAAATGGGTTTCAAAGGATGAATTGATATTTAAAGTTTTCAACTGATGTATAATTTCTGATGATTTCTAAAGTGTGATAGAGAAAAAGGCAACGAAGAAAACTTTTTGTGACTGGTCAGAACTCCTGTTACGATGTAGACTTTTGAGGTACACTCTTGTCAAATTAATCTATTACTTTTCCTACATAATTTAACAAAAACATTGGTAAAATATCTATTTAGGAGTCTTAGACCTTTCCAACGATATAAAGTTTGTCATGATTAGATTAGGATTTAATTGTAATATAGTGAAGTAAACTTAGGCGTCCCACAGAGGGGACGGGTGACAGTTAAAGGGTTAAAGACATAACTACAGTGTTTACAAGATAATGTAAAATCCATGTTCTTTATATTTTCTGCAAATAATTCAACATTCTATTTGATATTTAGAAACTTATCTATGCTGTCTCATAGATAGATAGATAGATGGATTCAAAAATTTTTCAGATGGTTAAAAAGTGTCCCAGGTTTAAGACATTTTAAAGACATTTAAAATTAATTTGAAAGTGATTGTGTTGTAATATTTGCATGTTGAATTGTGCCGGTCTATACCAGAAAAGGAAAAAAAATTTTTTTTCATTGAAATAAGCAATGTTTCACAGGCCCCAATGTAACAGAACATATTTTAAAGTAATATTTGTATTAATAAATTAAATTTAGTAATTAAAAGTTATTTTTTTTGTAAGCTACATTTATTTGATCAAAAATACAGTAAAAACCACAATATTGTGAAATATTTTTACAATTTAAAATGTTTTCTATTTTAAGTACTGATCTTATTTAAATCTTTAATATAATTGCATTGTTACAAGGACTGATATTTCCTTCTGAAAATCGAGTTGTATACTAAGAAATCAAAGCATACACAAACATACAAATGAATGCCCTTTTCCAGGTGTAAACATGAGCAAGGCGAGGTCGAGAAGGGACAGAAGGATCGCTCCGCCTGGCGTCACAAGGGTGACTCGCAGCTCCATCAACCCTCAGGACTCTCAGCGCTCTACACCCACAGATTCAGGCCTGGTCGACGACCTCAGCCTCATGAGCGTGAGTGAACAGCAGGCCTCATTAGCACGGTGAGGCACCACAACCTTCTGTTAGGCTTTCCAGCAAACAATCAGTGATTTACAAAAGCTCTGTATCCAAGCAAGAACAAGCATTTGTAAAACATGGTTTCATGAAATCTAGTTTTCAACATGGCAACATTATTTTCCTTCACACTTCAACTATCAAAGGAAAAAGTTAATGCAAACTGAAAATAGCTGTTATTAACTTAACAAAAAAAAAAAGAAGCTGTCCGCTGCAAAAACTTAACTTTTTTTCAGGAAAAAAGCATTATGCTGTTTAAAAAAAAAATTTTTTAAAAAGTTTTTGATTTGACGCCATGTGATCAGTGTTACTGTAAACTAAAACTACTAAAAAGTCATTTAAGTTGTAATATTTTAAATGGGAAAAACTTGATGGAAAAATGTCTTTTGATGGGGGGGAAAGTATTTCAATTTAACTTTATTTCAGATTTTAATGTTTTTAAAAAGTAATAAATTTAAAAGCACAATTTAAAAAAAACTACTAATACTAAAAAGAAAATTTAAAGCCAATTTAAAATATTAATAAATACTTTTATAATATATAAAAATACTGTAACACTGCATCTAATCATAGGCTATATAATTTAAATGTTCAATATCTAAGATCTAGCATATGCTAACAAAAGTGATATGTGGTATGCATATCTTTTTTTGAAAACACAAAGGTCATCCATATCCTTTTCTTTAGGAAAGGGGAGTCCTACCAGAGTTCGTCTCCCAGCGCTAAAGCCGTTCTCTCCTCGCCCTCTGGCAGCTCTGTCCCGCGCGGGGCTTTGGACACTATCGGCCGCCTGATGAAGCTCGGCCGGGTGCGAAACATTGTGGTGGTTGCTGGAGCAGGTATCAGCACGGCCAGCGGTATACCAGACTTCAGGTGGATGCTCAAAACATTCAAACTACATCTGAACCGCTGTTTCACTCGGCTAACAACTGTTTTTGTATTAGGACACCAGGGACGGGTCTTTATGCGAACCTTGCGAAGTATGACATCCCTTATCCAGAGGCCATCTTTAACATCGACTACTTCTCTGACAACCCTCATCCTTTCTTCTCATTGGCTAAAGAGCTGTTCCCTGGACACCACCGTCCAAACTATGTTCACTATTTCATCCGTATGCTGCATCAGAAGGGCCTGCTGCTCCGCATGTACACTCAGAACATCGATGGGCTCGAAAAACGTCCGATTAAAATTCAGAGACCTATTACATCACTCTTAAATGTTAAATTTGCAGCGTTATCTATTAAAATGTGCTTTACTCTCTCTGTAGTGTGCGGTATCCCAGATGACAAACTTGTGGAGGCTCATGGGAGTTTTGCCACTGCTGCCTGCCACCTCTGCTATACGCCTTATCCTGCCGAGGAGGCCAAGGTAATCTAAATTGGCCTGAGTGATCTTAATTACAATATTGAATTCATACAATTTAGTGCATACTACATAATTTTCCTTTCTTTTTCACTATCAGCAAGCTATAATGAATGGCAACGTTCCCATCTGTACATTTTGTGCCGGGGCAGTCAAACCTAATGTCGTGTTCTTTGGAGAAGATCTGCCAGAAAAGTACTTTCAACATGCTGAAGATTTCCCAAAAGCTGACCTTCTCATGATCATGGGCACTTCTTTAAAGGTGGGATTATTATTATTATTATTATAACTATGATGTACAAGCCATTTTGTGTCACCAGGTGACCGGTCTTTTGCAGTTCAATTGTTGTACTCCATCTAAAACTAATAAGTAAATTAATTACCAAAATGCTATTTAAAATGTATTAATTTATACGCCAGCTTTTATGTACCCTTTATTTAATTTATTTAATATATTGGTATTACTTTAAGTGGTTTAAATGGAATATTTGTTTATAAAAAAAAAAAAAAAATTATACCATATATAACTAAATTTAATAAAAAATTGCGAGATAACCAGTCATAATACAAAGTTTGAGGTTGGTATTATTATTGTCGTTTTAGTTTTTTTGTTAATATTAGTATTACTTTGAGTCTCTTATGCTTACAATGCTGCATTAACTTGATTAAAATACAGTAAAACCAGAATTATTTTTAAAAACATTTTTATTTTAAAATGCTTTTTTTTTTTTTTTTTACCTTAAAGTGGAAGTGAAGCAGTCAGTTAAGTTAACATTATTTAGTAAAGTGATTTCCACTTTGATAAAAAAATATATAACAAACATGATTAATGTAACCGTTTTAAAGAAAGCCGCCCTTAAAGTGGAAGTGAAGCAGTCAGTTAAGTTAACATTATTTAGTTAAGTGATTTCCACTTTGATAAAAAAATATATAACAAACATGATTAATGTAACCGTTTTAAAGAAAAGAGGATGTTTTGTTCTAGCTTTTGGAGCAAGGGCGCTAACCCCTAATACTACTCGGTCCCATTGCCTTATTGGCTCAAATGCATAGGCAATTACACTTACTATGGACTCAACAGTGCTTTCAAGTTAGTCTTCCTCCATTTCAAAACAAGCGTGTGTTCAAAATGTAAAGAAATGCTTATATTACTTCACTGGCCAACGGAGCGAACCAACCCCGTGATGTCACATGCGGTGGTACTGCAAGATGGCGGGGCCCTTGCTCCAAAAGCTATAACAAAACAACCTTTTTTCTTTAAAATGGTTACATTAATCATGTTTGTTATATATTTTTTAATCAAAGTGGAAATCACTTTACTAAATAATGTTAACTTAACTGACTGCTTCACTTCCACTTTAA